GTCCGCTGGGGTCGGGGGTGATGTAACCGTCGTCGGCGATCGGCGTTGGCGCACAGGATTGACTGTGTGGGTGTGGGCGAGGGGTCTGGGCGTCGGCAGCTCGTGGGGTTGGGTCGTCTCTGCGTGTTCTTCGATCGTCGAGTGGGGCAATGCTGGCTGGAGGGTCGGTCGGCGTGGTGGGATGAGTCGCGGATTTGGGCGCGAATCCTAGGTCCTGCAAACTCCAAGCTTCCGAGTCGGTCGTTGCGTGGGTGCCCTCGTCCTTTCCCATGTGCCTAAGCTGCTCGATGTAGACGTCGTCGTGCTGGTGGGGCAAGTCGTGGATACCAGGTAGGATTGAGTGTAGAGCACCTTCAATCTCTTGGTCGATGCGTTCCTGCTCCTGGTCCGCCATGGCTTGCTTTCTGTCTTCTTCTTCGTCTCTTTCTCTGATGCGCGTGTCGAGCTCGCGGAGTATGTCAATGTCCAGCGAGTCGCTGTGCCATTCTGCTTGACGAAGTTCTGCGTGAAGTCGTTCGCGTTCGTGGATACGCTTTTCCTCGGTCGAGGCAATCGTGTTCTGTAGTTGGATCTGCATCTGCTGCTCGGCGGCGTGGAGTTGTAGTCGATTGCCGTGTAGACGCGAGAGCTCCTGGTGGTACTCGTCGTGGGCCCTGTCGACTTGATACTGACGAGCTTTGAGCTCACCGTACTCCTCGAGAATCTTCTCTTTGGCTTGCATGAGTGCCGATGATTCCGCATGAGCCCTGCAGTTGATTTCGTGAAGCTGTCTTTGCTGAGCCAGTCGAAGTGCGTCTTCTTGTTGCTGCCCTCTCATCTCGTGCTGAAGTAGGAGATTGTGGGCGCACTGAGCTTCCTCCTGTTGAAGGCGGTGCTCGGATTCGCGAATTAGATGCTGGAGCCAAAAAGGCTTAGCCTCCTGTAGTTCGTGTTGCTGTGCTGCTTCCCGCCGTGCAGGGTGACCCGGTGCGGCGTCGTGAAGTAGTTGGTGCTGTTCGTTCTCGGTCTTAATGCGATGTGCCTGTTCAGCTTCATCTTCCTGACGTCGTTGTTCGGACTGATGTTCTAGGTGGCGGTTGCGCACGTTGATCTCGTCTATCTCCTCCTGGAAGCGGCGCTGGAGTCGTTGCTCGTGGTGCTGTAGTTCGAGATGAATCTCGTTGAAGGCCTTCCGAGACGTGTGTGCTTCCATGCGCGCAAGCTCCTCCTGAAACTGTTCGCGGTGCTCGGATTGTCGGAGATCAGCTTGTTGGTGGAGGTGAGCTAGGTGGTGCTGATGTAGTCCCGTGTGTTGTCGCTGCTGGTCCACCTTTTTGGAGAGGTCCGTGATCATCGCGAGCAGCTCTTTGTGACCTTTTTGGTGTGGGTCGTCATGCTGTCGGAGTGGTGCTGCTGCTGGTGCTGCGGACTGCTGGGGTCGATGATCTTCGCGCTGTCGCGGGTGGGGTGTCTGTGTCCGAGTCCTGCGCCTGTTGTGGTGGTCCTTCTCGCTCTCGTCGTTGTCGCTGTAGTAGTCGTCGTACTCGAGGTCGGATGTGGCGTCGTCCCTCTTCAGCTTCGACTCCTGGAGTAGAGCCCGTAGTATCTTCAAGCTGCCCTCCGTGTTGTCGAACTCAGTCTGCATCTTCCTGATGTCGTCCTTGAGCGCGTTCTTTCGCCTGACTGTGGTGTCGATGCATCGGCGGTAGTAGTGCACCCGCTCGTCGGGAGACAACGTGAGGAGGAGCATTGCCTTGTTGACAGACAGCTCGTCGACGATCTTGGAATCGTCGACGCCGACGGAGCGCGCGCCCTGAGCTTGGTCTGCCAACCGAGCGATGCGTCCGCGCTTGGTTGTCACCCAAAGGCGGCGCATGTCCTCCTCCAGCGGGGGCGTGGAGAAGCTCTCGTGGGACTGCATGCGCACGTCGTCGGCAGGGAGGACCTGGTCGAGGATCTCGCGCTGCTTCTTGGAGAACTGGAAGCCGTCGAAGAAGTTGTGCGCGCTGTAGTGCTTCCTGCTCTGCGTCCGTGTCGTTGTGCGCGGTGTGGAGCGAGTTCGTGATCCTTTCTTGTGGGTGCCCTCGCCGTCGCGGTCCTTCTGCCAGTTCTGCCTTCTGTCCTCGTGGCCGTCGCGGTCCTGCTGCCAGCTCTGGTCGTCCTTCTGGTGGTTGTAGTTATTCTGGTAGTTGTTGGCCGTCGACCTGCCACGCGACTGCCTTCTCCAAGGCCAGGGCTGCGCTCCGACTGGCGGTCCCGATGTCCGCTGCTGCGCCATCTCGTTCTGCTGGTGGCGCTGGAACTGCTGGTTGCACTGGTGCTGCTGTGCGGAGTGGTGCTGGTCCAACACCTGCGCCGCCGAACGGAGCCTCAGCAGCACCCTGGCCTCTGCGCGCTGCTGCCTGGCGCGGCGGTGCCAGGCAGGCTCGCCAGCGGTGCGCGGCGTGGCGGCCGCCTCCAGCGCGGCCTGGCGGGGGGCCAGGCGTCCGCGCTCGCCGCCTCCTCGCAGGTGGCGGGCCGAGGGGGCGGCAGCTCGGCGGCGCCCGCGGGCGTGCGGCTGCAGCGGTTGCCGATTGCAACCGCCGCGGCGCGCGGCCACGAGGGGCAAGGGGCGGGCCGGCGACGACGACGGCTGGCCCCGCTCTCCTCAGCCCGTGGCTCCTCCTCCTCCTCCTCCTCCTCCTCCTCCTCCTCCTCCTCATACTCTTCCTCATCCTCATCATCATCCTCATCCTTCCTCCTCATCATCCTCGCCCTCCTCATCCTCCTCTTATTATCCAACCAGCCCTCTGTGCGTCGGTGGTCTAGAGAGCTTCCTCTTCCAACTCCCTTCTTCCCCTTCGGGGAAGGGTTTACCCCTCCCCCTAACCCCCTCCCCTGGACCTGCACGGAGGGTTCCGCGGGTCGTTGGGGCGTTCAAGATGACCCAACACGGCTCCAAGAGCGAAAAGGCGAGAAAGCACAAAACATTGATTTCCCATAGGTTTTGGAAGGAGTTTGGCCTCTTGGGAGCCCAAGAGGCGATTCGAGGCACTCTAGAGGGGCAAAGCTGATTGACTACCTCTCCTTCTTTGATCGATCTCCTCCAAGATGGCCGCAAAAGCGGCCCGAATGCTCCCAAGAGCGCCCCAAGAGCGCCCCAAGAGAGCCCCAAGACGCCCCAAGAGGCGCCCAAGAGGCCTCCAAGAGACTCCCAAAAGATCCCCCATAGGCCCCAAGAGGCTCCCCGAGATACGCGACAGGCCCCCGGGACCGCCAAGAGGCCCCAACGACGGTCCAAGGGGCCCCCAAGCTCGCCATTGTCCTCCTCCTCCTCCTCCTCCTCCTCCTCCTCTTCCTCCTCCTCCTCCTCCCTCCTCCTCCTCCTCCTCCCTCCCTCCACCTCCTCCTCCCTCCTCCTCCTCCTCCTCCTCCTCCTCCTTCTCCTTCTCCTACTCGTCATCCTCGTCCTCGCCCTCCGCCATCTCCTCTCCTCCCCCTCCTCCTCCTGCTCCTCCTCCATCTCCTCCTCTTCCTCCTCCTACTCCGACGACGACGACTCCTCCTACATCCTCCCCCTCCTGGGGCATATGGCGGCTTACCCGCCCTTTGTTCTTCTGCATGCTCCCCCGCTTCCCTCATCACATCCACTCCCCTGGGGCTCATTCTGGACGGGCTGGTGGGAATACGCGAAGCGTCTAGAATTAGTACTATGAGTCGTGTCAGAAGTATTAGTGGCACTACTACTAGCATTATGTTTAGTATGATTGTTAGTAGTAGTACCCGACGTCTTAAAATTCCTACTCGTACGACTCGTAATAGTAGTATTCTGACGAAGCATAGTATCAGTATGGTTAGTAGTGGTGTTACTATGTTGGTGCGTCTCAGGGCTCGTCATATGACTCATGCCTTAGCACTACTACTACTACTACTACTACTACTACTACTACTACTACTACTACTACTACTACTACTACTACGACTACTACGACTACTACGACTACTACGACTACTTACTACGACTACTACGACTACTACGCTACTACTACTACTACGACTACTACTACTACTACTACTACTTACTACTACTACTACTACTCTACTACTACTACTACTAACTACTACTACTACTACTACTACTACTACTACTACTACTTTACCTACTATTACCTTACTACTACGACTACTTACGATTACTACAGACTACTACGACTAATACTACTACTTACGACTACTACTACTACTACTGATACTACTACTACTACTACTACTCATACTACGACTACGACTACGACTACGACTACGACTACGACTACGACTACGATACTACGACTACTACTACTACCTACACTACGCTATACTACTGCTAACTACTACTACTACTACTACTACTACTACTACTTACTACTACTACTACTGGTAGTAGTAGTTAGCATAGTAGTAGTAGCAGAATGTAGTAGCAGTAGTAGTAGTAGTAGTAGTCGTGGTGGTAGTAGTAGTAGTAGTAGTAGTAGTCGTCGTCGTCATAGCAGTGGTAGTAGTAGTAGTAGTAGTAGTAGTAGTAGTAGTAGTAGTAGTAGTAGTAGTAGTAGTAGTAGTAGTAGTAGTAGTAGTAGTAGTGGTAGTAGCAGCATACTTATTATGTGTGCTATTAGCGGTATAGCTATCATTATGGTTATTAGTGGTCGGATTAATATGTTTGCTGTGTTTCGTCTTCCCCCCCCTCCTCCTCCTCCTCCTCCTCCTCCTCCTCCTCCTCCTCCTCCTCATTCTCCTCCTCCTAATCGTACTGGGCACTCCACGTGCGCACGGCATCACATTCCGAGCGGAGCCTGGCGTCCAAACATACCGAGTGCATCGAGCAAAACACACGTCGATTCGCGAAACAGACGTCGGACCGCACCGGCACACTCGAATGTCAACGTCGAGTGAACCCGCGCAGATTCGTCCGCCGGCATGTCGACATGTGGGGGGGGGCGTTGTGTCAATGCCCGCTCAACATTGCCCGATGCAGGAGAAGACGCGTGGCGGGGACGCCGAACCGAGCCCGGGACAACCTGCGGATCTGGTCGATGGTCCCTGGCGGCGCGGCCCGCTTCTCGCGGCCTGGCGGCCGCAGCCGCCTCGGACGCGGGCTCAGCGCGGCCTCGCGGGGGGGCGAATGGAGAAGCTGATGGGAGAGGAGGAGGAGGAGGAGGAGGAGGAGGAGGACACAGAAGAAAAGAAAAAGGAGGACGAGACGGAGGAGGAGCTGGGGAAAGAGGAGAAGGAGAAGGAGGAAGAACTGATGGAGGAGGAGGAGGAGGAGAAGATGGAGGAGGAGATGGAGGAGGAGGAGGAGGCGGAGAAGAAGCAGGAGGAGGAAGAGACGCAGCAGGAGGAGGAGGAGGAGGAGGAGGAGGACGTAGAAGAACGAGGCGGAGGAGGAGGAGGTAGGAGGAGCTGAGGAGAAGCTAGAGGAGGAGAAGGACGACGACGAAGAAAGGAGGAGGAGAGCGAGGATGAGGAAGAGGAGCAAGAGGAGGAGGAGGAGGAGGAGGAGGAGGAGGAACAGGAGGAGGAGTTTTCAACAGGCGCGGCGCCGAGCGTGCACGGGCTCTGCAAGGCGACTCGGGCACAAGCCCGACAGAGTGCGAAAACGCCCGAGCACCTCCCCCCCAAAAGGGGCGTGCCAGCAGGCGCGGCCAGGAGGCCTACTCGCCGTCGGCGGCATCATCTTCGACCACCGGGTCTCCGACCAAGGCGTCCAGGACGAAAAATCCGCGAACTGCCGTGGCCCGCCCTGGCCGCTCGCCCAGAAGAGCAGGGGAAGGCCGCTGCGGGGGTGCTGTCCCGCCCACGGGCGCCCCCGGCGGGGGCGCGTCTGTGGGGAGGGACGGCCCCCAGGCCAGGCTGCGCAAGGAGCTGGGCGTTCGCGCTGGCATGCGCCCCGCACCCTGCGCAGAACAGGCAGAAGCCCGCGCTCCAGACACGGTGGCCGCCGCCTGGGCCTGCACACCGCGGGCGTGAAAAAGCACTGCGCGCCCGAGCGACGCGGTAGCAACGGCCACAGCGGAAGGCCGCGCCGCACGGCACGGCCTCGTGCGTGCCCTCGGGCAGCACCGTGTCTGCCGTCGGCACCGGGACTCGGCCACGCTGCTGCGTGCGACGCAAGTGGCCGTGTCGTGGCGCATGCTGCCGGCTGGGGCCCGCTGCACGCAGCATCCCAGCCAGAAACTTGGCGACAAAGGTCACCAGACGGAAAGATCGCTTCACGCGCTCCAGCGCCGCCACGTCAGTGGGGTGGAGGGCGGCGCCCTCACGAGCGCCGCGGTCAGCATCAATGGTTGCCCCAGCGCTTGATCAAGCCACGCTCGACCGCGTCATCCTGACAGCGGCGAGCGTGGCCCTTGACCTTCGTCACAGTGACCCTACCCCCCAAGAAGTCCACCCGATCCCAAATGCGAGACCACAGGTCCGCAGTCTCGCACTGCGCGCCAGTCGTCTCGGCGCGCCTACGCACGAAGCTCGAGACCACCCAGGCGCAGTCCGAGTGGAAGCAGAAGGGCCCCAAGGCCACGTGCGCGTCAGGTACATGAGCAGGGCGAAGGCCCCAGAGAGGTCCGACGCCTGGTGCGGCCCAGGGAGCAGGCCACACAGCGAGACAACCAGGGAGCCATCGGCATCCACCTGGACCACGGACCATCCCGCTGAGGAGGAGAAGGAGGAGGAGGAGGAGGAGGAGGAGGAGGAGGTAGGAGGCAGGAGGTAGGAGGTACGAGGAGGAGGAGGCGGAGGAGGAGGAATAAGAAAAGAAGGAGGAGAAGGAAGAGTTGGAGGAGGAGGAGCTGGGGAAGGAGGAGAAGAAGGAGAAGGAGGAAGAAACGGAGGAGGAGGAGAAGGAGGAGGAGCAGGAGGAGGAGGAGCTGGTGGAGGAGGAAGAGGAGGAGGAGGAGGCGGAGGAGAAGAAGGAGGAGGAAGAGACGGACGATGAGGAGGAGGAGAGGAGGAGGAGGAGGAGGAGGAGGAGGAGGTAGGCGGTAGGGGGAGGAGGTAGGAAGTAGGAGGTAGGAGGTAGGAGGTACGAGGAGGAGCAGGAGGAGAAGGAGGCGGAGGAGGAGGAGGAGGAGGAGGAGGTAGAAGAAGGAGGCGGAGGAGGAGGAGAAGGAGGAGGTAGGAGGAGGAGGAGGAGGATGACGACGACGAGGAGGAGGAGAGCGAGGAGGAGGAGGAGAAGGAGGAGGAGAAGGAGGAGGAGGAGGGGGAGGGGTCCGTAGCCATTTTGGCTCAAGTCCGTAGCGTTTGCTCAGGACGAGAGTTTTCTTGGCAATGGGATCCGCGGCCCCACCTGCTCCACACCTCGGGACTGCACTGAGGTCTCATCCCTCATCGCCGTTGCGTACCTACGGCGTGTGTCGCACCCTCCGCGGGTGCAAGATGGCATATTGGCAGCAGTCTTGTTGGTGTTGTCCCAACAAACAGTGCAAGTTCAAGTATAATTATGAGTGGCGTGATCAATGCCTTCGGTGTGGCAAGGACAAAGGCGGCCCCAGCCAGCGCATGGTCCAGCCTCGCGGGGTCTGGGCTGGTGGCGTCTCCCCTTCCGTGCGTGCGCCCAAGCCGAAGGGACCTCCGCCCCTCACCGACGAGCAGGTCCGTGCCTCTGCCGCCATGGACCCCGCTGCGTATGAGGCCGTGGCGGGCACGCTCACCCAGTCGGCGCGGGACCGCATCCTGCACCAGAAGGGCCTCCTCTCGGGAGATCCGCAGCTGGTGTCGAGGGCAGCACAGAAGGAGAGTGACGTGCTCACGGATCGGCTCGGCAAAGTGCAGAAGAAGTTCGACAAGGCGCAGGAGAATCTGCAACGAGCTGTCCGCTGGGCAGCAGAAGTTGGTGCTGAGCTTGAGGAGCTCCAGCAGCAGCAGGAGGAGGCGGCCGCGCGCGGGGCAGCAGCTCTGGCGCGAGTGGGCGGCACGGCCGCCGCCGCGCCTTGCACGCCGCCTGGCCAGTGCGACGGGCTGCTCCAGCAGGCTAGGCTGTTCGGCGACACCGAGCTCGAGGCAAAGCTCACGGAGGTGGCGGCGCAGCTGGCGCACGCTCAGCAGGAGCTGCAGGCGAAGGCCGCGCGGGCCCAGCACCCCCCCCCCCTGCGGCGCCCGCTGGCACCGCCCCGTCTGGCGGTGCCCAGCCTGGCGTCGCCAGCGCGGGCCTCCCCTCGGGATGCGGCCTCGCGGCAGCAGGGGCAGCGGGTGCAGGGCAGCATGCGCCGCCTGCTGCAGATACTGTGGGTGGTGCTGACCATGATGTGCGTGCCCGTGCATGGGCAAGCCGCAACGAGCAGAAGCTGCTCGAAGCCTGTGCCAGTGCAGTCGGCGACGACGATGACATGGACCTCGGCGAGGGCGCCAAGCGGGCCATCAAGCAGCAGGCCATCGAGCTGTTCGGCCAGGCGCTCAAGAAGATGCGCTCCACCTACTACGTCCCGCCGCAGTTGGGGTAGCCCGCAGCGCCGCCCGTTGACAGTTCTCACGGCGAATGTGACGAGCATGCTTGGGCTTGAGTTGCTCAGGCAATCTGATGAATGGTACGATTGTGACTTGGCGCTTGTACAAGAGCACAAAGTACCGCAGCACCAGCGTGACGCGCAGGAGCAGGCGTTACGCAAGACAGGATGGAAGGCAGCCATCAATCCTGCCGTCCGTGCTGGCGCCGCTGATGGCGCCTCAGACAGCTTAGCGGGCCTATCTGGCGGCACCATGATAGCTACGCCTGCTCGCTATGGGCTCAGCCAGCTAGAGGGCCTCTCCCATTGCGTGTGCCCAGCCAGAGCCTCGCTGTTGCATCTGAGCCATGGTCCGAAAGGAGGTTTGCTGGTTGGCACCATGTACTTGCACGACTCCGAGGACCTCAGTGAAAGGAATTGGCGTATCCTCTGCGACATGGGTCAGGCAGTCAAGAGCTCAGGTCTTCCATTCATCCTCAGTGCGGACTGGCAGGTGACGCCCGAGGAGCTCATGGAGAGTGGCTGGGTGGCAGGCGTTGGTGGCGTCGTGGTGGCTCCCAAGCTGGGCACGGTCAGGCCGTCGGAGCGCGCCATCGACTAGTTCGTGATGTCGCCCTTCCTGGCGGCAGGAGCTCAGCTGACAGTCCTAGAGCACATCGCGATCAGTCCGCATCGTGCAGTTCAGGTTCAGCTTCAGGTTCCACGTCGGGCCCCAGAAGTTCGTGTCGTTCAGCAGCCGCGAAAGTTCCCAGTTCAAGCTCCCATCGGTTGTTGTAGGCAGTTCGAGGAGCCCGACTGGGAGCAGCTTGCAGACAACATGCGACAAGCCGATGCCGCTGTAGACACAGCCTGGGCGGCTTTCATCGAGGCTGCGGAAGCCAAATGGTTGAATGTGTTCGATGTTGAGCCGCGGCAAGCCGAGTACTATCGAGGACGTGGAAGCGAACCTCAGCTGAGGACCCTTCAACCTCCGAGGCCATGTTCGGTACCCTTTCCGCAGATCAACGCCGAAGCTACCTGGTGGCGAGGATTGGCACATGCGCTGCTGGACTACGGCAACCTGCAGGGTGGCTGGGATGCTGTGACTCGTAGGCGCCGTCTCACTCGCCATTGCCGAGCCAGGTCCTTGCCGCGTCAGTGCCAGCTAGCGATCAATGTGGCTAGACTCGTCCTCCATAGCCTCCCTCTCTCCACACCCCACCTGCTTGTTTTAAGAACGCTTGCGCAGCAGCAAGCTGGGGCCGCTGTCCGAGCCAGCCAGCGAGCCAAGCAGCGGGGGTGGGAGGACTGGGTGAGCAAGCACAGTACTGAGCAGGGCGCGTCAGCTCTTTTCAGTTTCTCAAAGGTGCCTACAGGATGGACGCCTGACGACACGACAGTCGACCACGTCCCTTTAGGCTCAGCCGAGCAAATTGAGCAGCTCAGGGCTGAATGGGAGTCTTGGTGGTGCGTCTCAGAGCCCCACCCTGCGCTTCCCTGGCCTGATCTCTCTCTCCTCGAGCCTCCCCCTCGTCCGTCCGTCCCTGAGCTGCCAGCAGTCCCCAAAAGCTACAAGCCCACCACGGGCCAGGGCTATGATTGCATAAACCCGCGGCATGTCTTGCATCTGGGCCTCGAGGGCCTGGACACGCTTTGCGAGCTTTTGCATTTGATTGAGCTGAGGCTTGACTGGCCCACTGCGTGGGTCAAAGTTTTTTTTTTGGCCAAACGTCTGGGCGGGTTTCGGCCGATTGCTCTCTTGCCTGTGCTCGCGAGGGTCTTGTGTCGCTTACGGAAGTCCGAGATCCAGGATTGGCAGAGAAGAAATTTCAGAAGCTTTTCTTGGGGGACCCGCGGCAAGGCCGCAGATAAGTGCGTCTGGGCGCAGGCCGCGCGGGCCGAGTGGGCCCATGGCCAAGGGATGGCGTCGGGGACGGTTTTGGTTGACCTGAAAAAGGCCCTTGAGCTCATTCGGCACCACCATCTCGTGGCCGCCGCAGAACGCACTGGTTCCCCGATGAGATTATTGCACCTCCTTATCAAGCTGCATTGTCAGCCGCGGATTTTAGACATGGACACCTTTGTGTCGGAGCCCATTTTTTTCCGAGCAGAGTGTCCTGCCTGGCTGCGTGTTCGCAACGATGATGTTACAGCTCGTCTTGCTACAGCCCCTAGATGAGGTGCGCAAGGTTGCTCGTGCGGTTTCACTCTCTACAGTTGTCGATGATATTGGTCTGCAGCGCTTCGGTGAAGAGGAGCGCGTCCATGCTGATCTCACTGCAGCAGGCTGCGAGCTAGCCCGTCAGTTGGAAAAAGTTGACTTGTTGGTGGCGAAAGATAAGACGCGTTTCATGAGTAGTGCAGCCCCTCTCAGGACGTCTTTAGAGGCCAGCCTAAAATGCCTGGGAGGGCAGCGCTCTCGCACTGAGAGGAACTTGGGGGTTGACTTCGGGTCTGGGCGGAGGTTGGGTCGCCCACTAAGCGAGAGCGTTTGGCTGCTGCCGTCGTCCGCTCGAGGCGTTTAAAGATTTTGCAAAAAGCTAAACGTCGCCGACTCATCGCCCGCATGGTCAAAGCCACCGTGGAAACCAGCGTTTCCTATGGCACCAGCGTCACTGGAACCAATGGGCAGGAGCTCCAGAGGCTTAGGCAGTTGGTAGGCAATCAGGGCCCCACCAGCTCCGCTTCCCTCACGCTCCGTCTCCTGCTCACCCCTGGAAGTCGGGTGGACCCTATTTTCAAGGCTTCCGCCGACCCGCTTTGTGCCATGCTGGCCGCGTGGAAGCAGCATTGGGTCCCCCAGCACATAATAACTCAAGGAATTCGGCAGGCCCAGCGGCGAGCCCAGTCCAGCAAAGGCAGTCCGTGGCAAAATGTTGCGGGGCCCTTCACGGCCTACCTGGCCACGCTCGATCGTTTGGGTATTCTGGCCGACGGGTTTAGTTCTTGGACTTTCCCCTGGGGCCTCACTACACAGCCGGCCACCTTTTGCGTCCATGGGCTAAGGAAGCTCATCGACTTGGCCTGCGAGGCCTGGCAGTGGAAGCAAATTTGTACCACGCTTGACTGCCCTGAGATAAAGTCAGGCGTTTTGCTCGAGCCAGTCCTCAGTCTGCTCGGTCGCTCTTCACCGCTGTCGCCTGATGAAAAGGCCTATCTTCGGTCAGTCGTCATCGGTGCTCAGTGGACGCAGCAGCGCTTGTTCGAGGCCAAATATGTCCAATCCCCGCTCTGCTGCATCTGTCATAGTTGCTCTGGCACGTTGTATCACCGTCATCTGCTTTGTGATGGGTTGGTCTCTGCTGGTTTGCAGCCCGCAGGCCCTCTCCGTCGCGTCCTGCCGCAGGAACCCACAGAGCTCGTGAGCTTGCTTGGCAGCCGTGTGCTTCTCCCGTTCGACAGGTTCCCGCAGCGGCCAGAGCCCGCGCCAGAGCAATTCTACCTGGGTGAGCGCAGTCTGCTCACTGGGGACTTATTTGTAGATGGTTCCATGTTTGATCACGATGTGCCCAATGCTGCCGTCGCAGGCTGGGCTGTCATGGCAATGCATCCTGACCCTCCTCCACCGAGGGCGCTCGACGAGTTTCGTGTGTCGGTCGTCTACGGAGGCGGAGTCGAGGGCCCGATTCAGTGCATCGATCGTGCTGAGTTGGTAGCGGTTTTGAACACTCTCAGAGTTGCCATGCCGCCTGTCACCATCCACACTGACAGTGAATTTGTTTTCTCAGGCGTTGTAAAGCGTGGGCGTGAGGCATGCTGTGCTTTGCTCGCTGCCCATGCTGACGTCTGGGAGCTCCTCTGGACAAAGCTGGAGGACTGGGTGGGGTGGGACCCGATTCCGTCAGGTTTGTCAAGGTTAAGGCCCACCCCACCCCAGAACAGCGCCGCTCTATCGACCCACGTCTCCTCGCGGGCAACGAGTTCGCCGACCAGTGGGCGAAGAAGATAGCTGCTCTGGGGCGCCTAGATTTCGAGCGTCGTGATCGGTGTCGGAAGTTTTCGAGGCTTGTGCGTGCGGTGGGAGAGCAGGTAGGCAGGGCCGCTCCCCTCGCGGCCGCCGACACCGAGCGCCTCACGGCGTCCCAGATGAAGGCGGCCCGCGCCGCGCGGCGCCAGGCCAGCGAGCTGGCCGCCGCCGCCGCCGCCGCCACCGCCGCCCTTGCCCCACCTCCGAGCGCTCCCCCCCGTCGTGTCGTTCTCGCTGGGGGACACGCTCTGCGAAGGTGGGTCAGCGAGGAGCGTGGCGACAATGCGGGCAAAGTGGTCTGTGTTAGGTGTGGGGCTGTCTGCTCCACGCATGTTGTCAAGCTGGGCCAGGTCTGTGGGCATCCCTCGGCCTGGGGCAAGAGGGTGCTCAGAGGCCTGGCCCAGGGAAAGTTGCTGTTTCGGGGCCGCTGGATTTCGGTTCAGCTTGGGCCCCTGTCTCCAGAGAGCTCGGAGGTGTGCTGATCCCGAGCTGTGTACAGCGGTAGGGGGCAGGCTCACTGACCCCCCGTTGTTGTCAATCTGTGTCGCAGGAGGAGGAGGAGGGGGAGGAGGAGGAGGAGGAGGAGGAGAAGAAGGCAGGAGGTAGGGGGGAGGAGGTATGAGGTATGAGGTATGAGGTATGAGGTAGGAGGTAGGAGGTAGGAAGTACGAGGAGGAGGGGGAGGAGGAGGAAGAGAAGGAGGAGGAGGAGGAGAGCGAGGAAGAGGAGGAGGAGAGGGGCAAGAGGAGGAAGGAGGACCACTCAAGGGAGGAGGAAGATGTGGAGGCAGGAACAGAAGGAGGAGGAGGACGAGGAGGAGGAAGGAGGAGGAGGAAGAGGACGGGGAGGTGGAGGAGGACGTAGAGGAAGGCGAGGTGGACGAGCAGAAGGAAGAGCATGCAAAAGAGGAGGAGGAGGAGGAGGATGAAGTGCAGGACGAGTAGGAGACCGATTTCTGACCACACCCACTTCCCGAGGTGCCTTGCGAAAAGCGGTTTCCAGAGGTGGAGGTGGGCAGCTTCCCCGCCCCAGGGGAAAGAAAAACTACCCACTTCCACCCCCGAGGGCCTATCATAGAATCGAGGATCCAGAGGTGGATGTGGTCAGAAATCGGTCTTCGAACGAGGGAGCACGGCGACGACGGCGGAGACGACGGGGAGGGAGGGAATTGAGGACAACAAGAGGGAAGAGGGGCGAGGCGGAGGGGCGAGGAAGAGGAGGAGGAGGAGGAGGACGACGACGACGGCGACGACGACGACGAGGCGAAGGAACAGGCAGGAGGAGGAGGAGGAGGAGGAGGAGGAGAACGGGGAGGAAGAAGAGGAGGACGAAGACGACGACGTGGAGGCGGAGGAAGAGGCAGAAGGAGGAGGAGGAGGAGGCCTGCCAGGCCACGAGGAAGAGGCAGCAGGCGCTCACCAAGCAACTGAGGCACGCGAACGACCCAATGGCGCGGTACAGCTCCGGGTTCTGCTCGCGGCACCTTCGCGAGGAGAGCAGCTGGAGTCGATGTGTTTGTATAATTCGCGGCACGGTGAGGACATCGGATGAGGAACCCCTGAATACCTAGTTGCCCGATGCGCAGCACTGCAGGAAGAAACAACTGCCTAAGCATGAACTTTCGGAGCTCCACGCGGATTTCTTGGATCGGCGCTGGGGCCCTCTGGCAGCGCCTCTGGCGCCGCCCCTGGCGCGCTCCGCGCGCCAGGGAGGCGAGCCCAGCGCAGAGCAAAGAAATCCGCGTGGATCTCCAAAGTGCATGCTTCTGTAGTTTCCCAATCAGTGCTTGCACTGAAGGGGTCCTATAGCGGAAACTGAAAGATTTGGCGAGAGCTTCCCGCCGATTTTGGTAGCAGGCTGGGCTCCCGGGTTCCCTGTTCCGGGTTCCCGGGTTCCCAGTTATTGGTTCCGGGCCGGTTTCGGTGGGGTCTGGGTTCCTGGGTTCCCCGTCGAGCTCCTTCTCGATCTCTTGATTGATGCCACGATTCATTATCGATCTCATGATCGATCTCACTACTCATCTTACTCAGTCAATATCACCATCGATCTTATCAAACCATCCACTGATTGGAGTTTTTCTTTGGTGTAATTTCTTATCCGAACATCGCTGCCCCGATACGCGACACGCAACCCGTAGCGTAGTGTCGCAGAGCTCAACGTGCAGACTGAAAACGGAGGTCTGGCGCGATGCGCTCACCGAAACGTGCGCCAGCAGGTGACGAGCCAGCACGCAGCGTGTCAACACGGACGCTCTGAACACGGCACGCTTCGCGTGTCAACGCGAGCATACCAGGGCAGGCAAGCCAACAGAAGCTTGACCGTGGGCATCACCCCCGCCCTCAGCAGGCACGGAATCCTCCCAAGTCCGAAGCCTCCTGGGCACATTCCTAAACGGACGTCCCCACCGCAACGCCCGTGACGGGCCCCGCCCCGCTCCCTCTGCACCCCCCCCCCCCCGGTCACGTCACGACTCGGGCTGGCGCTGTCTGGGAATCCGCCATCCCGAAGCATTCCCAGACGGCGCCTAACGTGAGCGGGCCCCACCCACCCACCCCCCCGATCACGCCCGTTGCCGCCAGGTGCTAAAACAACGGTCTCCTGGACTCCGAGCAGCAGCGAGCTCATCACCAAGATGAAGAGCGGCGCGTGCACCATGAGCCTCTCTCTCTCAGGGTCCACGCTCTCGCATGAGTCTGGGGATCCGTGCATCTGGCGCCTGGGAGCTCCAGATCCGCGGATCGCGGAGCACAACCTCCGAAACATGGCCCAGCCCCGCCCGAGTTGTCGACGGAGCGCGCAAACTTGATCTGGAAACGGGATCCGTCGCTGATCCACACGCCCTAACCCATGCTTGCGCTCCCTCGATCTCTCCTCCTCCTCCTCCTCCTCCTCCTCCTCCTCCTCCTCCTCCTCCTCCTCCTCCTCCTCCTCCTCCTCCTCCTCCTCCTCCTCCTCCTCCTCCTCCTCCTCCTCCTCCTCCTCCTCCTCCTCCTCCTCCTCCTCCTCCTCCTCATCATCATCATCATCATCATCATCATCATCATCATCATCATCATCATCACGATCGGGCTCCCACCACAGGGGACGCCAGGTAAGAAGCCGAGGCCCCTCCTCCGCCCCAGACGCGCCCCCGGGCCCCAGAGGAACGGCGGGCCCTCCCCGAATCCTGCGCTGCTCCTGACTTCGGCGTCTTCACAGTCGGGCCTTGACCTAAGGAACCCTAAATAAGGAACGAGGCCAGTCTTCGGCGTCGGGAGCCTGTGACCTCCCCAAGGAACCCTAAATCGAAAAGAGACTCTTTCCCATAAGTTACTTCGATCTCCGATCGGAAACCTCAGGAAAACCTGAGGCAAGCTGTGAAATACGTGAGGAACGCGGAGCCCCTCCCCAACCAAAAGGGTTCCTTCCTCGGGGCCCCGACTGTACTGCATGGCTGGCTCACGTCGCGATGGCATCGACGTTGGCCTCTGACGCCGCGTGGATCGTTCAACCTTGAGCGGCCGCGACTCTCCGATAGCCCAGGTCGTTCGATGACGGCCAGATCTGGCCCGTTCGGCGGCATTCAAACTCAAACCCATGCGCTGGAGTCATCGCCGCGTCGACGCGGCGCGAACCTACTGTACCCTGTTCACGCCAAAACTCTACGAGGGGGCGGAATGGGGGCATAGATGAGAAACCCGGCCTCTGGAGGCCAAGGTTTTATGCTCCACTCCCAGTGGCTTGGGAGGCCGCAGCAGGAATATGGACAGAACGTCGCCGCTCGTTTGCCCCTTTCGAGCTTCTGGAAGCCTCCAGAGGCCTCCACGGGAGCCTCCAGGGACCTCCAGAGAGCTCTGGAGAGCTCCAGAGACCGCCACAGGTTTCCGAAGGTCACCCGAGGCTCGGATATGTGCTGCGATTTGGGTGGTTTTCGGTGGTCGGAACCCCGCCTAGCAACTGGCATTCGACGAGAGCTTCAAAAACAGTGGCGCCGATGCCCCACTTGGCCTCATGTGGGCCACGATTTGGTTCAAGAGCATAATGAGAACCCCATCCACCTCCTCCTCCTCCTCCTTCATCCCTCTTTAGCGTTTGGTTTCAGACTTCAGACTTCCTCATAAACTACCATCCTAAAACTAAAAACTCAAACAGTTGCAAAAGTGGAATGCTGGTTACTGTCATAATTTCCAGATAGCTCCTTGTGCGAGCTGAAAGGGCTTCTGAGCCGAAACCACCAAGCTCGGCTAGGCCAGACTAAGGTCCAGAGATGCCCGTCAGGCAGCGCTTCAGCGCAGCTTCTCGGCAGCGCTTCCTGGGCTCGCGCGCAGCTCCCAGGCAGCTCCTAGGAAGCGCGCTCTATGCTCGCGGGCAGCGCCTATGCAGTTCCTGGGCACGCTTCCTGGGCCCGCGCGCAGCTCCCAAGCAATTCCCAGGCAGCGTTTGTGTGAGCGTCGTCGTGGCCACAACGAGGCTCCCAGAGAGCGTTTCGTGGGCTTGTGCGCTGTGCGTTCGCCCTCGTGCCTGCGCGCTTGCGTGTTCTCGCGCCCCGTCTGCGCGCATACGCGCCCGCGCGTCTACGCGCCCGCGCGTCCGCGTCCCCGCGCGTCCGCGAACCCGTTCGCCCGCGCACCCCGCGCGCCCGCGCGCCCGCCCGCGCCGGCGCGCCCGCGGGCCCCTGCACCGAGGGCCCGAGCGCCCGCGCGCTCGTGCGCCCGCGCGCCTCGCCGTTGCGCGCCTGCAACTCCTTCCCTTGACGCAAGCTGCTCTGCTCTTTGGGTTGCACAGGTGCGGCTCTCGCCTCGGCGCTGCACGTATGTGCGCTAGAAGCTTCCAACGGCCACGTGGGCGGAGGGCTGGTAGTTGTCAAAATGCGGCTCTCCCCCAGGCGATGGGCACAGTGGTTTTCAAAGCTTCCAATTGCTACAGAGACAGAGAAGCGGCTTTCAAAATGTGGCTATCGTTTTGGTGTCGCGCACATTCGCTTCACATGATTCACACAGCTGCTCGAATGGAGGGCGGTTTCTTTGCGACATGCGGACATTTTCGCTTGAAGCGTTCATAAGTTGACTGGCCCGAATTTCCAAAGTGCAACAGCTGCACGGATGAGGATGGCGCCTTTTCAAAATGGGGCTCTCGCCTTACCGCTGCGCGCACTCATCCTGGAAAACCTAGCAGCAATACAGATGGATGGTGGGAACCTTCATGAACTGACCGTTGATATTGTGCACCTCTTACACGTGTGGAGCGCAGATCATTTTCAAAATAGAGCTGTGACTGGACACTTCCTCGAGCTGTGTCATCATATGTGTCATCCTACTTCTTTGCGCTTCTCACAGCTAAAAACATGGAGGACGGACCCTTTGCAAAACGGGGCCTCGCCTGAGTGGCAGGCCCACCCGGCGCTCGTCACTCAAGGGGGGCGCTTCCCTCAATGGAATCGAATTCGTGCAGGGCCTGTCGAGGAGAGGACTCGGAAGGTGAGGGTGCACTACAGGTTCGTTGACGCCGCCTGGGCTTACTCTGGTCCTCCTCCTCCTCCTCCTCCTCCTCATCCTCCTCCTCCTCCTCCTCCTCCTCCTCCTCCTCCTCCTCCTCCTCCTCCTCCTCCTCCTCCTCCTCCTCCCCCTCCTCCACCTCCTCCTCCTCCGACAGACTTCTCTGCGCAGCTGGGCCCCCGCCCCTCGTCGCCACGGCCGAAGACGCCGCTGGGAAGGCTGGTCAGGGCCCGCCAGTTGGGGTTTGACCCGGTGCGGCGGATCGCGGCGGACGGAAGCTGGCGGCGCGCAGAGGGGGGCAGGTGGAGGGGGGAAGGCGTCTTAGAAGGAGGCTGCTTCTGAGAAGGCGCTGGCCTTGTACCTACAGAGATGGCCCGCGCCTTCTAGGAAGAAGGGGTGCTTCAAAGAAGCCTTCCCCCCTCCCCCTACCCCCCCTCTGCGCGTGGCTGAGAGAGGGGGCAAGTTAGCAAAGAGGGGGTCCGCGAAGGAGCTCACGTGGCCAATTCCTCTGGCGCCCTCCCAGCGACGGAGACGCCAGGGCGTCGAGGAAAGCACCCCGCGGCAGGGCCGAAACCAGCTGCTTGTAGCAGATGTCAGATCCCTCCCCCCTTCCCCTACCATAAGACGACGCGAGGACGAAGATATAATCGGGTGGGGATAAATCCGCCGACCCCTTGGGGATCATCGGCGTGTGAGATGCTTCCCCCTCCCCAAACCCCTCCCCCGGGAGCCCGGTCCGGTCGATTTGGAGGGGGGGGGGGGGGGGTCGAGCGCGAGCGGGGGGGTCCGGGACGAGCGACTCACGGGGCTTTTCCGGGCCCAAGAGGGCCTCAAGACGGGCCACGAAGCCGTCAAGAGGCCTCCAAGACGGCCCACGAAGGCCCCGAGACGCCAAACGACCGCTCCAAGACGCCCAAGATGGCCCCAAGACGGGCCAAGAGGTCTCCAAGACGGCCCCCGAGGTCCCAAACAAGCCTCCCAAGAGGGCCCCAATAGTCTAAAATTGTTGATTTGCCATAGTGTTTTTCAATGTTTTTTGCTTTTCCGCCTTTTCGGCTTCCCGACGCTCCAAGACGGCCAAAGAGGCCCCAAAGACAGCCCCAAGATGGCCCAAGAGGCCCCCAAGACGGCCTCCAGACGGCCCAAGACGGCCCCCAAAGACAGCCCCAAGATGGCCCAAGAGGCCCCCAAGACGGCCTCCAGACGGCCCAAGACGGCCCCAACACGGCCCAAGAGGTCCCCAAGACGGCCCAAGAGGGCTCCAAGACGGCACCAAGAGGGGCCCAAGAGGGCGACCAAACATGTTGAAACTCTAGCTTTCTGCCCCCAGGAGCCCCAGGGGGCCCCAAGAGTGCCCCAAGAGGCCCCCAGAGGCCCTCACGAGGCCGCCCAGACGCCCCAAGGAACCCCCAAGAAGCACCCCAGAGGCTCCGAAACGGCCCCCAAGTGGCTCCAAAACTCGCTTCCAGAGGCCCCCGAGAAGCGATCCGCGAGATCCCGATACACATACAAGAAGCCTCTCACCCATAACCCATAACCCAGAGCCGTTTCTCCGTGTCCCCCTTCTCCTCCTCCTCCTTTTCCTCCACCTGGGCCCCCAAGTGGTTCCAAACTGCCTGCCATAGGCCCCATGCCGGCACACCCTTTGCACGCGCCGTGGCCTCGCACATGGCCAAGTTGACCCATCATGACTCCTGGGCAGTCCCCCAAAAAAACTCCCGACCGCTACCGAAACGGCTCGAAGACATTCCCGAGCCCAACCTGGCTCCATTATGCCTCTCAGATGGCCCCAGATGAGACCACGACCGCCCGCGGTGTCGCCGTCCGCTCGGACCCCCCCGCGGAACTGCCCGAGACCCTCTGGCGGTGGCGGCGAACAGACACCAAACAAATATCACTCGCCTTTTCACCCCTTCGCAGCTTCTACTACCCCCAGATTGGCATAAACAAGGGGTCGGCGGTGTGGCGTAAGCCTAAGAATCGAGAATCTCTGAGGTCCGGCGGCTCTGGAGGATGTCTCGAGCGCCGCAGCCTTCTCAGAGCGTTCTGGAACGCTCTCAGAGCGTTCCGGAAAGCTCTGGAGCAGATCTGTCCTCGTCCTAGCCCCGCCCGATACCACCACCCCCTTTCGACCGACCCCAGAGAAGGGGGCCTCGCGCCTGGGCCTCGCAAGAAACATCGCGGCGGACGTCTGTCTGCCCCGCCTCGGAGCCCTGTTGCCCTCACGGACTGGCCCAGCTCGAACAAACTCGCGAACCTGCGTATATATGTGTGCGAGTATGTCTGTAGCGATTGACTCTGTATACATATATCTATATATGTATATAAATGTATATGTGTACATACAAATACGTGTATAGACACCGACCTACTTACATACCGATCGATCTGGATGTACATACATGCATACGTGCATACGTTCCTGTATACATACATGCATACGTACATGCAAAGGTACACACATACATCTGTGCAGACATACATACATGCATACATGCATACACGTATATAAATCTATATATATATATGTGCATGCAGACATTCATATATGCATACCTATACATACATACGTCCATACATACAGGCAGGCATGCGTACGCACGTACGCACGTGCATGTATACATACATGCACACACATACACACGTACATACGCACGTACATACACGCATACATACATACATACATACCTTCATACATACATACATGCATACATACATACATACATGCATACATACATACATACATGCATGCATACATACATACATTCATTCATACATACATACATACCTGCGTGCATGCAGTCATACATGCATACATACATGACATACAAGCGTACATGCATAAATGCATAAATACATACAGACAGCCAGGACAAAACAAAACAATACATACAGGCATATACACAACAATGTATACATACATGCATGCATACATGCATACATGCATACATGCATATTTGCATACATGCAACTATGCGTACATGCAGACATGCATACACGCATGCATGCATACATGCATACATGCATATATGCATACATGTGTACATGCATACATGTATACATATGGCTCGTTCTCAACTTTCTAGACACGGCTATGTGGCTCGCTCCCATGCGTTCGCCGTATATTCATATATATATATGTATATATATATGTGTATATACGCATACCTATGTGTATACATTTTGCGCGATAGCCAAAACATGCTTTCGAGAGACGAGAGCTCCAGCCGTGGCCCTACACGACGTCGTCTGAGTCTGATTCCTCCGTCGTTGTTGGCACCCTTCTCTTCCCGAGCCTTCTCCTGGTTCTCCTGCTCCTGCTGCTCCTCCTTCTCCTGCCACTGCTGGTGCTACTCCTCCCACTCGTGCTGCTTCTAAACCTTCTCCTCCTCTAACCCAACTCCCTTCCTCAGATCCTCCTCTTCCTCCTGGACGTCTTCCTGCTCATTCGCTACTTCCTCCTTTTTCTCCCCTCCTCCAATGTACAACCCCCCCCTCTTCTCTCTGCGAATCACACAATGGGGTCATTCTGGGGATCATGGTCCTCTAGGTCGGCCCAGTCGGAGAATACAAAAGAATTCAAGGGGAAATGGGAGGGGATGGGTGGGAGGGGCAGGATGCCAGATATAGCGCACATAGCGCGAGCGCTCCAAGCTCGAAGACCCCCCCTTCTCGACCCACCACCCCTTTTGTGCACCGCCGACGGGGGGGCGGCGGCATCGTGAACCGGAGCACGCGTATGGCCCCTGTATTCTGCTGCTCGGCCATCTCCAGGGCAGCGCCGCAGCATTGCCTAATGTGCACGAGGCAGTGGACGAGGAGGAAGAGGGCGAAGTAGACGACTATCCTCTTGCAGCTGGCCTGGACCTGCTCGTCGGTGTATGAGCACATGGACTCATCGCGCACGCGGGACTTCTGCATGGCCGGCAGGGTCACCGTGAAGAAGTCCGCCAGCCAGACAAATACCAGAGAGCAAGTAGCGCAGACGAGCACCCGGAAGCACACCGGGTACCTGGACCTGGGAGGGCTCAGCCGGGGCCAATCAGAGGGATTCAGGGAAAGGATGAGCGGACCTCGGGCGTTGCAGTCACAACAAGTGGCCAGCAAAATTGGTCGGCAGGGGACTGAAGAAGATAAGGGTGCACGGTATCCTCGGCAATGCACCTCATCCTTCTTGGGGGGCCAACTGCAAAAAAAAGGAAGGGCATATCAGATACGTACGGGACGACATCTTGCCACAAACAGCGGCGGCGCAGGTTTTTCGTAGAAGCTCAATGGAGTGGCCGATAGCTCGATATCTAGGATCAAACGTCGCAAGGCGCCAAAGAGCCCCAGTGGGTCTGAGGGAAGAGCCGGGTAGATGCGAGACTCCCGAGGGGGCATCCACTGGCAGGCCAGTCTCGTGCTTGGCCAGGTCCAGAAGCCCAGGGAAGCGCAGGTGCTGAACTCTCCAAGGGGGTCACCTTGTACCTCCGCCAGCTTCCGCGGCAGATAGGGGGCCACATGCGAACCCTACCCCTACCCCCCACGACTTCTGAGGGGGAGGGTGGGGTTTACTTCGCTCGAAAGCTCTCGAACGAAGTGAACCCCACCCTGCCCCTCAGAAGTCGTGGGGGGTAGGGGTAGGGTGCGCACGTGGCCCCCTGGCAGAGCCGCTCGAGGCCCCGCGAACGAGGGCACTGACAAACCAGGACGTCGGCGCGACCGCGAACTCTGTGGCCGTGGGTCCAGACGCCCTGCCTCCTTCGCTCGCCGGGGAGGGGGGAACAACATGCCCGCACCGTTGATCCACGGACCTCTCCTGCGGTGCAGTCCTGACCGTGACTTCGAGGCGAATTGTGCCGTGGCGGCGAGGGAAGGAAGGGCAGCGGCAGCGGCAGGTATTCCTCTTCTGACGTGAAAAGGCATCAACAGAACGTTTGGAGGTCGGCGCGGACCCACGAAAGCTCATGCTAATGCTCTCTTTTGTTTCCCGCATCTTCCCCTGCTGGCATGCTCAAGACCCTTGCTGGGCGGACCGACATGGTCGCAATAACTTTCACCATGTCAGGCAATCCCGTCAGAACCGGAAGCAATATATCTATATATATATATATATACATATACACACATCTGTGTATACATGGGGAGGCCATGAAACATGGAGCCAGCGGCCCCCAGGAACCCTGCCTGGCACACTGCTACCGCGATTGGGGCATGCCTACGTAACCACGTGCACGCGGCGGACGGGGGGCCAGGCAGCTCAGTCAGACCCACATAGACCCCTCGACCTGTCCACTGTACGCCCCAAAACCTCATAGGTGCATGGATTCGCCGTATCTAAGGAGGCGGAAACCCATGCACCGACGTGGTCGGCTATTAAGGAAAAGCCCGCCCGATGCTGATTGCACAGATTTGCTCGTGGGTGCGCCAGATCGGCCCTGGGAAATAATGCATAGTATGCTGTCTGAGGGAGGCGTAAGCGGCGCCCACGTCGCCCTGGAGGGTGCGCGCGATGAACAATACTCTGCGCGCACTTTCGCATGATGGTTGAGTCTTTCGGGGCCCGATCAACTCTGGAAGAAAAACTCGGTGCATGGATCGACTCCCTCGACGTGCTCAGGTGGCGAAATCCGAACCCTACCTCCAGCCAACCATCGATTCACCCGAGTTCGGCTACACGGAAGAGTGACACCAGGCGAGAATGGCCCTTGGTGCGCGACTTTCGGGGGCCGCGTGGAGGCCGAGCTGGAGCCGCTACCATCGCGTCTCTTTCAGCCACCAGGGGGCCCCAGTGTGTCCGCACCACAGGTCCCTCCGGCGAAAGGTCACTGTCACGTATAACCGAGGAATCGACGGGAGGCGGGGGTAGGGTTCGTGGACCAGAAAACAAACGACACCATCCCACCTACGGCCCCACGGGGCTTAGCGTATACCAAGACATCCGGCGTGGGCTCCTGCGTGGTATACGCTACGGCCCCCGATGAGCCGTAGCGCAACGTGGAGGGCCGCAGGTGGGGTGGTGTCGCTGGTTTTTGATCGAGGTCAGATTTCGCCGCCGGCTGCAGCGCCCTGAGCAGCGCCCTTGCTCTCGCTTCCACCACTCCCCCCTTGGTAACCAAACAAGGGCCCCTACCCTTTTGCGAGGGGACCTAAGTCAGGAGGGCCGAAGACATTAATTTGAGGTCGGGCATGTCTCCCGTCCAGGCAGAATGTGAAGAACACATAAAACATACTCCACAAACACCAAAAAATAGCCACAAAGACTCCAAAAATCGTCCCCAGCCTATTCTTTGCCTATTCTCGAATATACTCCTCCTGTGGAGGGACACGCCCGACTTGACACCAATTAGGGATAGGGGCTCCGCTCTGCAGATGCATCGAGCCAAGCCGCCCACACGTGTACCCCCGAGGCACCGATGGGGGACCTGAGCGAGGCCACGTCTTCACCGTGCTCTTAGTGAAGGAGCCCCAGGACACACAAATAAATAGACACAAATAAAAAGATTCCCCATATTTTCCCATATTTCTGGCGTTTTTGTCTTCCCCCCACTTCCCATATGTTCGCATATTTTCCGGGGAATCGACGATTCATTGTGTCTGTGTGTTTTTTCCCCTCCTGATCTTAGGGCTGGTGCTTTTCTGTCCTCGATGACCCCCCCCTTGCCTTGGCCTCGGCGGGCCACCGCCGGGCCGGGCCTCCGCGGCAGGAGCGAGCGAGGCCCCGGCCAGCCCCCCCGCGATAGAGAGACCTCCGGGGCTTCGGCGCTCCTCGGCGCGCGGCGCACGCGGCGGGCGCCGACGCCGTGATCCGCCAAAGGATGCAGTCGGACTCGACTGGACAGGGCGCGCGAGAGGGCATCGGACCCTTCCAGGGGCCGCATTGCGACAGGAGTGTGGGAGGCAGGGGTCGCGAGAGACGGGGCACAAGGGGGCTCTTGATTTGGGAGGGTCGACCTGCGAATCAGAGCCGACTGAAGTCGGAGAGACTCGGGCCAGCTTCCCGGAGGTTTCTCAGAACACACCTGTCGGCGGCGAGCGAGGGGAGGAAGTGAGAAGGAAGAGGCCTTCGCAGAAGGCGGCGGGGCTTCTCAGGAACCCTCGCGCCTTCGCAGAAGCTGTTTGTGGGTGTGTGTCTTCGGGGAAGGCTTGGAAAACTTCCCAGAAGGCCGGGGGACTTCAAAGCCTTCTGAGACGGCCCGCCCCTTCTTTTTCTCCCCCCCTCGCTCGCCGCCGAACACACACCTGGGCCAAGTTCTGCTGCTAACGCTGGAGAGGCGAGCAGGCTCAAGAAGCTGGGCCAGCTTACCCGCGCGTTGGCCAAAAGCGCCGGCCCAGCTTTTCGGGAGGAGGTTCCTGGATCAGATGCTCGACTGTGTATCCGCGCACTCGAGGTCTGGAGCCCCAGGCGTGATCCCACGGATGCGCGGCCGCACGGATGTCTTCCGCGCGGGGCACCAACGAACAAACAAAACAAAAAAAACGTATCCGCGGGGCCGCGGAGACGGATATGTTTTGCGCTCGCGAGATGCCCTGCTCTCTTCAGCGCGCTGTGGCCCCCGAAGGCCCGACCCGCCTCCCACGAGACCAAAACTCTCGCCCCGCTCCGTGCGCGAAGCTGCCCCGGCAGCCGCACGAGAACGCCTCCCGGGAGGCCGAGAACGGCGACGGGCCCCCTGCCCCGACCCTCACCGGCAGTGCCTGCACCGAAGGGCAACTCGGCAGCCTCTGCCCGGCTTGCGGCCGGTGCCCGCCCCCCTGAGGTCCGACGCCTCGAGAAGATTGAGACATCGAGAAAGATCACGACGGGAGCCCCGGGCCCCCTTTTGCTGCGCCACTTTTCGAGCCGGACCGCTCTGTGGCGCAAAGCTGGGAGAAAGCGTCCAGCTGGAAGAAACTGAGTCGCAAGGATCTCAGGGCCGTCGTGAGCGCCTTGTAGCCGCCTTGTGCGCTGGCAGGGTCTGTCAGGGTTTCGGCTGGCCGTTGGCGCCCTGGGGCCGCCCTGCAACACACGTACATGTTGCACCGAGTGGAGCGCACGCCCCAGATTGTCAGAGTGAGGGGGCCGAACGGTCGTTCACTGTCCCTGGGTGCGTGGCTGACGTCTGGGTCCGTGGTGCGGATTGCGGTTGCGTTGTTGCTTTGTTGTCATCGTCCCACTCGCCACCCAACCCGCGACCCACCCGCGACCCACCCGCAACCCAACCGCGACCCACCCTCGACCCACCCGCGACCCACCCGCGACCCGCCCGCGACCCACACGCGACCCTCCCACGACCAGCCCCGCGCCCGCCCCCTCACTCGTATCAACAACTGCGGGGTGCTACATACCACGTATATTTTGCACCAGATGGTTTGCACCACATAGACTGCACGACGTAGGCACCCCATAGATTTCACAACACACAGGATGCACTGCATACGCTGCAGCACATATCCTGCACCACACCACTTGCATTCCACAAATGCATATCATAGGAGCTGCACGCCACAAAATTCACCGCATGAGTTACATCCCATAGATTGTGCTATACCGCTTAGATTGCAAAGCATAGGTTGCACCGTGAACAGATCCCACCACAAAGATTGCATCAGACATTTGGTCAAGACGCAGGAGCCCTGGGCTGATGATGGACGCAGGGAGCCCAGGAGCGGTCGCAGGGCATGCCTGCCTCGCACCGCTGGCCGAAGCGCGCAAGGAGGAGGAGCCACCAGCCTCTGGCTGCCTCATCCAGCCCATCCCTCCCCCCACCGCGACGACGACGACAACGACGGTCACGATGGCGCCGACGGCGACGGCGGTGGCGCCAACGCCGACGGCGACGGCGGTGGCGCCAACGGCGACGGCGGCGCGTGGCCGATAGCCGACGGCGGCGACATCGCGCCTCCTCCCCCTCGCGATGGATCGCCGATAGATCAGCGATAGGCCCCCGATGGCGAATCTACACGTTTCTGGGAGGGGTGGGCTACCAGGACCCCATCGGCGACCAATGGAATGCGTTTTCTCCTCAGCCTATCCCTCCCTGCCGTTGCCCCTGACTGGTTCGACGGTATGCCCTGACGCCTTCGCCGGCACTCTGGGAACTCCTTGGCTCGACGGCCTGCTCCGGCCGCCTCTCACTCCCACTCCGACCAGAACCCGCTCGAGACCGGTCGCTGGACCCCTCTGGAGGTCCACAGGCCGTGGCGACGAGAACCCTGAGACACACCCGAAACCTCCAAAACGAAGACGTCGCAGTCGCCGGCGACCACCACCAACACCACGACGACGACGGTGGCGGCGGCGTGCCTCCTCCCCCTCAGGGCCGGCCCCGCGGCCACGCCAGCGGCGAGCCCCCGCTGGTGCAGCCGCAGCCGCCGCGCTGGCGGCGCCCAGCGGGCGCCGGCCCGCAGGGGCCGCGAGGACCTCGCGCGCAGCGCGGCCGCCGCCTCGCGGCCCGAACCTGTGCGGGCGCGAGTGCGGCCCTCTAAACGCCCTTCTCCTCCTCCTCGTCCTCCTCCTCCTCCTCCTCCTCCTCCTCTACCTCCACCTCCACCTCCACCTCCTCATCCACCTTTTTCTTCTTCTTCTTCTTCTTCTTCTTCTTCTTCTTCTTCTTCTTCTTCTTATTCTCCTCCTCCTCCTCCTCCTCCTCCTCCTCCTCCTCATCCTCATCCTCATCCTCATCCTCATCCTCATCATCATCATCATCATCATCATCATCATCATCATCATCATCATCATCATCATCATCATCATCATCATCATCATCGTCATCATCGTCGTCATCATCATCGGTATCATCATCAGCATCATCATCATCGTCGTCATCATCAGCATCATCAGCATCAGCATCATCAGCAGCATCAGCATCATCATCAGCATCAGCATCAGCACCAGCATCATCATCATCATCACCATCACCATCAGCATCATCATCAGCATCAGCATCAGCATCAGCATCAGCAGAAGCATCAGCATCATCATCATCATCATCATCATCATCAGCATCATCATTATCATCATCATGGTTTCTCCTCCTCCTCTTCCTCATCCGCCTCTGCCTCCGTCTCCGCCTCCGCCTCCTCCTCCTCCTCCGAAATCCCGAGAACAATTTTGTGGCATGTTGCAAGGTCTTCAAACGGCTGTCTTCCAACGAGGCAGTTCCCTCAATGGAAATGAACCGCTGCAGGGGCCTATGACGAGGGAGCTTGGAGGGAGGGTTAATTCCAACATCGATGATGGCCCTTGGGCTCACACTGGTCCTCCTCCTCCTCCTCCTCCTCCTCCTCCTCCTCCTCCTCCTCCTCCTCCTCCTCCTCCTGCTCCTCCTCTTGGTCCTCCTCTTGGTTCTCCTTCTCCTCCTCCGCTTGGTCCTCCTCCTCCTCCTCCTCCTCCTCTTGGGCTTACACTGGTCCTCCTCCTCCTCTTGGGCTTACACTGGTCCTCCTCTTGGGCTTACACTGGTCCACCACAAGCTATCGAAATGCACTCGTATAAGCTATAAGCAGATGAGCAGATAAACCGCGTGCCGGCCGCCCGCCCTCCTACACAGCCCCAGCATGCAGGGCAGCGGCGGCACCCGACGCACAGCCGCCTCACAGGAGCGACACCTCCTCCGCTCCGAGGCCGCTCGCGTCCGAGAACACGACGAACTGGACGGTCTGACCCTTCTCGAGCGCCTCGACGCCCACGAGGTCCTTCATGTGCACGTAGATGTCGCCTTTGTGCTTCCCAACGTCGGGGTGGTCGACCTCCTCGAGGGGCTTGATCCACCCGAACTTGCCGCGCCAGCTCTGCACCTCGCCCGTGACTGGGACGTCCGAGACGCGCGTCCGGGGCAGGTCGGGCCCGCTCGGGCCAGTGTTCTTCTTGCCCTCGCCCTTGCCCTTGCCGTCTTTCTGGCGGCCCTTGCCTCCGCGCGTCCTGGGGCGATCCCGCGCCCGGGAGGGCTGCGCATCCTCCTCGCCGGCGCCCGCGCCCTCGGCCGCGTCTGGCGCGGGTTCCTCCTCCACGGCAGCGGCGGCCGCAGTGGATGCGTCGGCTTCCCCCTGCTCGACAACCTGGCACATCTCGGCGCCGATGCCGGTGGGGTCCGAGTAGACAAAGAAAATCACGACGGCCCCGGGCAGCGGCATCTCGCCCTCCACGTCGACGGCGTGGCAGTATATCTGGCCCGCTCTCTTCCCCAGCTTCTTCTTGTCCTCCAGCTCGGGGATCTCGAGGGGCTCGTCGGGGGAGATGAAGCCAAACTTGCCCCTCCACTCCACGACCTTGCCCTGCACCGGCGCCGTGCTGATGGTCGTCCGCGCCGCGGCGTCGGGCGGCCTCGACCTCCTGGCGTCCTCGCTCGACTGCGCCGCTCTCGCCGGCGCCCTTGCCCCGCCCGGCGGCGGCCTCATCGGCGCCCCGGCCTTGGGCCTGCCTGGCGCCGGCGCCTGCGGCTTCTGGACAGACCTCTGGGGCCCCGGCGCGGGGCGCGGCCTCCCGCCTCCGCTGGCCGCGGGCACGCAGTGCATGGCGCCGAGGCCGGTGCCGTCGGCGTAGAGGAAGAAGCTGACGCGGCAGCCGACCCCGGGCAGGTCCTCCTCGACGTCCTCCTGCGCCAGGAAGACCTTCCCGCGCTTCTTCTTGGCCTCGGGGTGATCGATGGGCTGGTCGGGCTCAATCCACCCGAACTTCCCCCTCCACTCCTGGACCACGCCGGTCACGCGCCCCGTGCCCACCTTCCGCCTGGGGCCGGCCACCTCCCGCGGGCGGTCGCCCTTGCCGCCCTTGCCATCCTTGCCGCCCTTGCCCCCCATGGCAGAGGTGGCCCCCCCCCCGCCCCGCGTGCCTCGACCCTGCCTTGAGCCAAGCTGGCTACGGATCTCACGCCAGAAGCTGGTGACAGGATGAGCTAGGAGATGCACGGTGGCCTTTGCCACTGACACTGGGTGCAAATCACTGCTCTAAGAGCACTGAGTGAGCACAGGAGAAAAGGAACGGGCAGGCTTCTACAACCTAGCGCATGCTAGCCCTACTTGCCCTGCCCTTGCATGATAGGCTTAACGTTGACTATGTGGTCTTAGTCCAGGCTACACTGGCGCCCAAAGCGTTTGCTCTTCCCTCCACTGGGATCATCCACCCCCAATCTGTCCCGACCAACCTTTACCTACACATCCAGTGCAATACTGGCGCTGTGGTGTACGGATGGAGGGCAATCGGAGGGATGAGGGAGTAATCGAGGGAGAGAAATTGGCTACTCGAAACCACCAAGATCCAAAAGTGGTGTCGTCAACTTCGCTGCTGCGGGAGAGGAAGAACTGCCCTGCTTCTGGCAAGGCTTCAGACCAGTGTTCCGACTGGGCCCGACGACTAATCCAAGCAAATCGCCTCCTATGCAAAGCCTTCTAGGCAGAAGGGCGCTCGCTGCAACAATACACAGCTATCGCGGAGGCTGCTTCTCCCAAATATTAATGCACTGTCTGGCTGGCTAGTTTGCCTCTAGCGCAAATGTGAAATCATCAGCCAAGGTTCGCCCAGGATCTTCCTAGGCCTTGGCGAGAGCATTATGGAGAGAGGAGAGTAGTTTTCATAATTATTGTGAAATTGTAAAGGAGGAGGAGGAGGCGGAGGAGGAAAGGGGGAGGACGAGGAGGAGGAGGCGGAGGAGGAGAAGGAGGAGGAGGAAGAAGAAGACGAGGAGGGAACTTGTTGTGGACTGCCATGAGCTTGCGCCGACGGCAGGCGTCAAATCGGTCCAGTCCGCCCGCAGGGGGCCGCCCAACAAGATTAGAGCCATGCAGAAGAAGCACCTCACAGACTGGGACCCTGGCGACTTTCCCAGATCTGTGGTAACAGCGAGAGATGGGGAAGGGAGAAGTGAAACAGATTGGGAGGAGGGAGGAGCCCAAGCAAAGCGCTATTAAATCGTGCCGTGGATGCGTCATCTCCACCAAATGATGGAGGCAGAGGGAATGAGCTGGATCACTTGCAATGGCCAGGCACCTCTCGCGTGTCTAACAAATCCGTGGGGTAGAGAAGGAGAAGACAACAGCCCCTATGCCATGTTTGATCGTCATGCAACCAAAACGACATGAGAGACGTTGCGGAGTACAATGCACTGAATAAGAGACAGCCAAACAACGACGAGGAGAAGGGCGGCGGAAGAAAGCAAGCCTCGGTTCGAGTATACTCCATTCGATAATCCCTGCCGCAAAAATAGCCCGCTTCGGACCCACCAAGAAAATGCTGTAATCCTCCTTAGGTGGCGAGTGATGGTCCAGAACATGGGCACGTAGGGGGGGGGAGAGGACAGGAGGGGGGGAGGAGAATTTGGAGGAGAAGGGGAGGAGAAGGGAGGAGAGGAGGAGGAGGAGGAGCAGGAAGAGGAGGAGGAGGAGAAGAAGGAGAAGGAGGAGGGGAGAAGGAGGAGGAACAGGAGGAGGAGGAGGAGGAGGAGGAGGAGGAGGAGGAGGAGGAGGAGGAGGAGGAGGAGGAGGGTTAGGAGATGGGGGAGGAGGGTTAGGAGGAGGGAGAGGAGGAGAGGAGACGGAGATTAAGAGGAGGAGGAGGAGGAAGAGGAGGAGCTCCTAGGAGGAGGAGAAGGAGGAGGAGGAAGAGGAGGAGTGGCCAGCAGACCCCTCCCCCTGGGAGTGGCCGCTGTCTCAGACAGCCGGCCACCCCAGGGGGAGCCGACCCCCGCTACGGAGGAGTCTGCCAGCTCCCGGCCACAGAGCACCGGCCGCGCGGGGAAGATTCGCGGCCGCCTGCTCGAGGAGGAGGAGGAGGAGGAGGAGGAGGAAGAGGAGGAGAAGCAGGAGGAGGAGGAGGAGGAGGAGGAGGAGGGGAGGGGAGGGGGAGGAGGAGGAGGAGAGGAGGAGGAGGAGGAGGAGGAGGAGGAGGAGGAGGAGGAGGAGGAGGAGGAGGAGGAGGAGGAGGAGAGGGAGTAGGGTTAGGGGACGATTCGGAGCAGGGGCAGGAGGAGGAGGAGGAGGAGGAGGTGGACGAGGGGGACGAGGAGGGGGACGCGGACGGGGACGAGGAGGGCAGGGAGCGGCGCGCCCTCGCCGCGCCCCGCCGCCTCCATGGCGCCCGTGCTCCGGCGCACATCCCTCGGGGGCTGCGCCCCCGGCGGAGCCGAGACGGCCGCGGGGGGGCTCTCGGCGGAGGCGGGCGACAGGGCCGAGGAGGAGGAGGAGGAGGACCAGTGGAAACCCAAGAGGCATCAACGATGTTGGAATAAACCCTCCCTCCAAACTCCCTCTTCGCAGGCCCCTACAACGGCTCATTTCCACCGAGGGAACTGCCTCGTTGGAAATTAACCATGTGAAGGCCTATGCCGAAACATGGTCCTCGGGATTCAAACGCCACGGATCAACCAAATTGCTGCGTCTTGATGATCCGGAATCGTTCCAGAACTCCACTCCTGGGACTTCAACGCC